CCCAACCAATTCGCGACCCATTATTGCCTCTTAAAGCCTCTTCCTCGCCGCGTCTCTCCTCATCTTCTCGCCCATCCTCCTCCGCGACGTCGTCCGTCGACCAAGGAATATCTACTTACTCACTTAAGCTCGAGCAAAAACCACCAAATTCGAGCGTTCGTATAAACTATCTTACTTTTTTCCCCTCCTCCTCTTACTGTTTAAACTAAGCCTAACCGTGTTATCGTAGTACACGTACACACGCACGCGCGCGTGTTACTTTCTTCAACGTGACGTTGAAAACTATAACGACGCATGTCGTTCGTTTACTCCTCCGACGCGTACGTCCATAAACTTTGGAGGAGGAACACCACCACGTTCCCGATCACCGTTCTAACTAACCGTTAAGAACATTTCCGGATACAATGAGCTAATATCTGCCCGTTTGTTTCTGCAACGCTGGTCGCGTGACTTCGGCGTGGCGGATCGCGACGACGAGTTTCCGGGATCGGTGAATCAGAATGGTGGTCTCGCAAAGGATTCGAGCGAAGCCAAGTGTAGGGTGGTAATCGACACGTTTCCACGCAGTGGCGTCGATTCTAGAGGAGCGTAAGGACTGCGTGCCCTACGCTGGAACGGAGACAAGGGAGGAGGACGACGTTGTTGCACGCATCATCCCTCTCTCTCTCTCCTTCCACCGGTTGCCTCGAGAGCAGTTACAATACAGGAGGGAGGGTTCCGCCTGGTATCGGTGTGTGTAAACTGTTCACTTCAAAGCAAATCAGCTATCGTTACGCACGGGAGCATCGACGTCATCCGATGTCCATACCCGTTCTCGTTGTTGTTGTTGTTGTTGTTGTTGTTGTTGTTGTTGTTGTTATGGTCGTCGTTGCTCTCTTCCTAGTCTTAGTCGTAGTCGTAGTCGTAGACGTGATCGCAAGCTCTTTTGAGAAAGCTCCGCGTTTCTTTGCGCCGCGGACAGATACCTCCGATGGATATGTTAGTCACGGATTATCGATCCGTGACGAGGGATGAATCTAATACGAGTAATTATAGGACGCGCAAGCCTGTATTGTCGCCGAGCATTGCGTCAATAATCTTTGAGGGGATCGTCAACCGTGAACGTGTGCCTAATGAACGGTTATCATTCCACCGAGCTTTTTCGATTCAGGCCTCTATATATTTCAACGCGAACCTTGACATTTACGAAACCACGGATTTGCCTGGTAGGTTTCGCAGGTTTAAAAATCTCTCTCTTCGACGGAGAGATGTCCAACGTCGAGCAATAGTAGATGTAATCCTCGCGCTAAGACTCTCCTCCCGGCCGATAGCGTGACGAGCGCGCTCGAAACGGGGGAGAGAGCGAGAGAGGGAGGGGGCGTGGGGGGTTGAAACGCGGCAAACTCCCTTGGGTCCCAATTACACCGACACCCGATCCTGGCATTACGGGCCGGCTAATTCGAGGGAGGGCGAGGAAGGAGCGTCGCGTGTATAAATCTCGGTAGGTAGGTTGATTGTACAGTTTCAATTCCGTTTGTCGCCACCATCGCGCTTCGTTACCGACGAAACGAGCAACGAGAGAGCGAGGGAGAGAGAGGGAAGNCGGAGACAACGTGGGAAACGTTTCTCCGCGTTTCTTCCGCGAGAGGGGGAAAAAAACGCACCTCGTTTTCCTCTCGCGCACACTCGTGGCGTGGGCAAACAAACTTTCTCTCCCTCCCTCTCCCTCTCTCTCGGTCTTTTCCAAATAAAGAGTGGAATATCGGAGCGAGCGAGCGAGCGAGCGGGAAAATCGTCGAGGATCGAGATGTCGGTCGGAGGAATCGGTCGTCGAAGAAACGGTACGTCGCAAAGGTCGTCTTCGTTGTTCGACGCGTGTACCCATTACAAATCCCTTCGGAAGGAGGCACCGACTCCTCCTCTACCAACCCCTGCCAGGATAATAGCGAGCTGCTCGGTCCGCGGGGGGTCCAAGATTTCGACCTTTACCGAAATGCCAACCGGCGAGGAGGGGAGCGGCTTTAAACGGGCTAATAACGCCGCGCCCTCCCTTCGATTCCTCCCTTCCTGCACAAATTGCCTAGGCAGCGAGGCCGTAAAAATTGATAAAGACATCGCGTCGATTTCCTCTCTCTCTCTCTCTCTGTCGCGCCCAGTTCTCGAGCTCGAACGAAAGGAAAACGCTTGCTTGTTTCATTCGCGGTTTGGTCATTAGCCGGATGAGAGAGGATGAGGTCTTAGGCGAGCGGTTTCGAGTCAATATTCTCGGATGATCGATCATCCGGCCGGAACCGCGGGAGGCCTCGCGCAAATTAAGTATCGTCTTACGTTGGCCGCCGCCTTTAAGAATCGTCGAAAAATACGAGGGAAACACGGGGTGGATGGAATCGGTCGGTGCGTGGCATCGATCATCCGCGTATAAACGTGCGGAACTGTCGATGGTGGGCGAGGAGGAGGAGGGTGGAAGGAAAAGTTTCGCCTCGGAAAGATAAAGGTTTCTATAGTCGGAGGAGAAGAGGGAGGGAGGGGGGTGGGTTGGTGGACTATTTCCTATATTTGCGATATCATAGAACTCGCTTGACATTATGGGTGGCGTCGGGGGTGGCGCCGAGGGATAGATGGGCTATTCCGTGAGACCGGCTGTCATATTCATGTATTGACACTGAGCTGGTTGACTAATGGACTGGTGTTGTCACAGTGTCGTGTTACCGCGAGGGCCGGGCCCCCTTGCAACTCGTTTTTCCTGCGAATCGACCGAAACGCCGCGACGACTTTGTCCACGCGTTTGATTCGCCCGCGTTCGGGCGAAGGGAGAATCATCGACGTGGCGAAAGAAGCGAAAGGGGAGAGGGGGGTGGTGGAAGGGGGAAATAGGAAGAAAACAAAAAATATATATCGGCTCGATCGAGCCGGTGGACGGATCGACGCGGCGAGAACGCGCGCGTCGGATAGGGAATTTTTTTTTTTCTTTTTTCCTTTTTTTCTTTTTTTTTTTTTTTTTTGATACGGATCGCAATATAGCGAGGATCGCGCGCGCACGTCCGCCCCGAAGCACGCGGATATTCCTGTCGGTCTTCTCGACTTTTACATATTTATCGCGTCTCGCATTGTGCTCGCGTCAGCCGGGACGCCGACATCTTTTGCCAGGAAAATCCGCGATATTGAATTTGCCCGCCACCCTTCCGCCGTTTTCCGTCCGCCTCCCCCTCTTTCCAACCCGTTCCTTTCGTCCACGACCGCCGAATCGATGATTCGTTCGCGAACGAACGTTCGTGGTCCAAAAGAGTGAAAAAAAAAAAAATAAAAAAAGAGAGAGAAAACGCTCTCGCGCGTGGTTCCGCGCGTTCTCCTCCTCCTCGTTCCCCTCGGAGAGGGAGAGCGGTAACGGGAGCCTCGAAATCTCTCGGCCGGGATCTCGATCCTCGATCCTCCCTGAGCCGCGTCACAATAGGGGAGGGGGAAGAGAGACCGCTTCTGCGTGCTCGTTTTTTTCTTTTTCTCTCCTTTTTTGTTTTCGGCGCGAGGCGAAAAAACGAGGGAGAGAGAAAGAAGACGGGCGGACAAAGGGGTGTGGGTGTCGATCGAGGCAGGATCGAATAATAGTAGTGGTGGTGGTGGTGGTGGTGATAGTAGGAGGTGGTCAAAGAGAAGCGGAGCCCGTAAACGCGAGACGACTATTCTATTACGGACTGACATTCGATACAAACTTGGTCGAGCGATCACGGCCTTTGCCATGCTCCTTCCACGTTTCCTTCCTTCCTTCCTTCCTCTACCCCTGCGTTTCTACCCTTGGTACTCCATTAAAGTCGCGAAACAGCCGGGACGAATCCTCGGCGAGACAGAGAAAGAGGAGAGAGAGAAAGAGAGAGAGAGACTAGCCGTGACTCGTAGGCTAGAGGGTCCTTCGAGGCTGGAATAATAGGATACGGTGAGAGACTTTATAGCCGCGTGTCTCTTCGCGACCGCTTTGATTTATCGCGGAGTTAAATGGCTCGACGCTGTTACGCCCTCTCTCCGGGAACCTTTCTCCTGCTCGCGGATGAGGGTACGACGCGAGGCGAGCGTATGGTAACACGCCTAGATTCGTCGTAAACGCGCGTCCGTTTGGTCGGTTTGGGACAGGCATCCGTGAACGATGCGGAATTTCGCGCGAAGTTTCATATCGGTCCCGAGCATCTATCGACTCCACTCACCTCGAACCTTCTGCTCGTCCTGAAGCTGTCGCTCGAGGCTGTCCTTAACCTCCCTCTCTCGGAGAACGTCCATCTTCAACTCGGCTGTAATCAGAAAGATAAAAAGGAATCTTAACGTGGCGTGTCTCTAAAGCGGACTTTAGTTAAGGGTTTAGTTAGGAACTCTCTCTCCTCCCCTCCTTTGGAAGATGGCATAGGAGAAGAATATTGCACGGTCTGGCGGGTTCGTGATTAAATCCAACGGGCGAGGACCGGACCGGATAGTTAGCTCTAATAGAATTACGTGGAAACGCACCACGAGGAGGAGAGAAATCCTCGACCGCCGCCGTTGCGTTCTCCGCTCTTGTCTCCAAGACGCTCGCCCCTTTCTCCGTCTTCTCGGCTACAACAACCCTCCTTCTCTCACCCTTGGGACTCGCCACGCTAAATTAGCCATTTCGAATCTCGGCGAGAGCCTGATGGAGTGGTGGAGAGAGAAAGAGAGAGAGAGAGACAGAAATTCGTTGAGAAATTCCCTGTTCTGACTTTCGTCTTCCTCCCCCCGATTTCGGATTTTCGGTTTAAGAAAAGCCGCGGAAAGAAGCGTGGCCGACTGTATATCGGCTCGATTATCGACGTTCACCGACGACGCTTCCCTTGGGAGTGGGGAGTATCGATGAGAAAGGGAGAGAAGTCGGTAAAAAACGTTGCCAACCTCTCTAAATCAAGCGGGCTAATTCGGTTTAACGGAAGAAAAGAAAGAGGGAGGGAGAAACCGAAGCCACCCTCTCTCTGCTCCTCGAATTACATTTCCGTAGCCAATGAGCCGCGCGCCTCGTAACGCGTCTCGCGGCTCATCGACCGATAATCCGCTCGTTAGATCGCTACCAATTTGCCGACATTTCGCAAGGATCGTTCTTTCTCGCGATTTCTCGAAAGCGATGAAAACCAACTCCCTTCGCCAACTACTACTTCGACGAAACGACCTAATCCAACCGGGGAGGGGAGGAGAGAGAAAGCTAATTCCAACGTTTCAAGCTTTCACCCTTCGCCAAACGTATCCGTTCCAAATTTAATATCTCTCTATTCCCTTCCTCCTCCTCCTCCTCCTCCTCCTCCTCTTTCTCCCCCTCGACGACGAATCGTCTCGAAATACGAAAAAATGGTGTGGCGATAGTTGGTCGCCTCGAATTCGAAATTTGGAATTTGGAACGGGTAGGGAGGGGGCGATCAGGCGCGCGGGAGAATGGAGCCCGGTAGATTAGGGGTAGGGTAGAGGGGTGGCGCGTCTCAGCAGTCTGCCGGCAATTTGAGAGCGTTTGCGAGGTCCATTAACGGCGGTAACTCTTCACGACCGGCCGCCACGAAGATTCAATTTGAATGCTAACCAGAATAGGAAGTTCGCGCCGGTGCNCATACCCTCTTGTCTCCTTCCTTGTCTTCTTCCCCCCTCCTTCCTCCCCTGTTTACGCTTTCATCGACGAGGCTCCCTTTTAAATACAACCGTCCCACCTTTACATATTTTCGAGGGAAACGGGATAAAGTCGGAAGTGGCGAAAATCAATTCCTCGAGAAGGCGGCGGAGGAGAAAGAGAGAGAGAGAGAGAGGGAGGGAGGGGTTGCTGCCGTTGCCGCTGCTGCGAGCTTATTGAAATTCGACCGCGAGCTCGGAGCCATTAAAATTTCAGGGATTAACGTTGGCCGCGACGAACTTCTTCCTCGTAGTAAGTAAGTGAGTGAGTGAGTGAGTGAGTGAGTGAGGGAAAACTCTTCCTCTTCTTTCTCCCTTTCAACTATCTAAGAATCGCACTTCGGGGGCGACGATCGTTTCGATATCATGGTTATCGTTGGAAAATTGGAAATTGGAAAATAGTCGGGAGGGCGGACGAGTGGAAGGTTTGGAAGGATTATCGGAGGTGCCGGGCGAAGGATTCATCGGCGATAATAATATTCACGGTAGCTGGAGCACTCTGGCCCGGCAACAATAACAGTGCAACGGAACGTGCATGCCACTGTTACCGGAGCGATTCATGGTTATTGATTAGTATATAGTTGGCGGGAAGACGGGTGGTGGTGGTGGCGGTGTAGCGTTCACATCCCCGCAGGGCTTGTACGACGACGTGTACGCGTGGTATAGCTTCTGCGCGGCGCTAAGATATTCGCCAGGGCCCGAGGCCACCC